TGCTCATTCTCTCTCTCCTCTCCCTTTTCCTCTCCTCCTCTCCCTCTCCCCCACCCCACTCCTTCCCTCTCTCTCTCTCAAAAATGAACATTAAAAAAAATTTTTTTAATTAAAAAAAAAGAAGTCCAACCACCTGGAGACACTATGCTCTGAGGAAGCCCAGCCCACATAGAAAGACACATGCAATGTCTGATTAACAGCCCCAGCTGAAGTCCCAGCAGATGGCCAACATCAACTGCCACACGTGCATAAAGATGCCCACACATGATAAGGCCCCCACCACTGAGGCTTCCAAGCTGAAACACCAAATGTGATGGAGCAGAGATAAACCATTCTGTGTCCTGCCCAAATTCTAAGCCAAAAGAATCTATGAACATAATAAAATGGTTGTTTTAAGCTGTTAAATTTTGGGATAATTTGTTATACAGCAATAGTAATTGGAAAAGTGATCAACGTGGTAAACAAGTTCTCTACCTTCATGGAGTTTATATGATAGCTGGGGCGGGCGCCCTAGAAAATGTCAGATAGTAATAAGAATTGTAAAATTCTGGATCAACTGGACATTCACATGCAAACAAATGAAATTAGACCCTTTCCTTACACCATATACAAAATGATTCCTGGAAGAAAAAGTGCCTATTTACACATTTTAGTGCTTCATTTAAAATTAGCTTGAGCTGGGGCACCTGGGTGGCTCAGTTGGTTAAGCATTTGACTCTTGATTTTGGCTCAGGTCATGACCTCACAGTTCATGAGATCGAGCCCCACATTGGGCTCCAAGCTGACAGCATGGAGGCTGCTTGGGATTCTCTCTCTCAAAATATATAAATAAACATTTTAAAAAAAAGGAATTTAAAATTAGCTTGAGCCAACACCTAATTTGAAAACTACAGTGTATTTGTATTATGAGGACTCAAGCATTTTTATATGTTAACAAGCATACGTAGAAACCTTGAATATGTGATAATTATTGATGTTAAGAACTAAAATTACAAAACTCTTAGAATACAACATAGAAGTAAATCTTCATGACCTTGGGTTGGGCAAAAAACACAAGCAATAAAAGATAAAAAAAAAATAAGGGTGTTTGGCGGGCTCAGTCAGTAGAACATGGGACTTCTGATCTGGGGGGGGTCATGAGTTCAAGGCCCATGTTGGGCACAGAACTTTAAAGTAATATTTTTTAAAAGATAAAATAAATTGGGCTTCATCAACAACAAAAACTTCTGTGCTTCAAAAAGTACCATCAAAAAAGTGCAAAACCTGCCCACAAAATGAGAGAAATTTTTTGCAAGTCATATATCTGATCAGGGTCTTGTATCCAGAATATATAAAATAATCTTCATAACTCAGAAGATTAGAAAACAACCCAGTGAAAAAATGGGGAAAGGATCTTTCTCCTAAGAAGATGCACAAATGGCTAATAAGCACGTGAGAAGATGATCAACATTATTAGTTATTATGGAAATGCAAATCAAAACCATAATGCCACTTCACACACCCTAGGATGGCTAAAATAAAAAAGACAAATGATAGAAAGAGTTGGCAAGAATGTGGAGAAATTGGTACTCCCATACCTTGCTGGTGCTGGTGGGATTTTAAATTAGTGTAGCCACTTTAAAAAACAGCTTGTCAGTTCCTCAAAATGTTATACGTGACCCAGAAATAGGTATATATATCCAAAAAAATTGAATACACATGTCCACACAAAAATCTGTACACAAATGTTCATAGTAGCATTATTCATAATACTCAAAATGTGGAAACAACCCAAATGTCCATCAATTGACGATGATAGATAAAATGTACTATTTAAGTATGTTATGGGTTGGGGCGCCTGGGTGGCTCAGTCGGTTAAGAATCAGACTCTTGGGGCGCCTGGGTGGCTCGGTCGGTTAAGCGTCCAACTTCGGCTCAGGTCATGATCTCACGGTCCGTGGGTTTGAGCCCTGCATCGGGCTCTGTGCTGACAGCTCAGAGCCTGGAGCCTGTTTCAGATTCTGTGTCTCCCTCTCTCTGTGACCCTCCCCCATTCATGCTGTCTCTCTCTGTCTCAAAAATAAATAAGCGTTAAAAAAAAAAAAAAAAGAATCTGACTCTTGATTTCGACTCAGGTCATGTGACCCTAGGGTCGTGGGATCAAGTCCCCACATCAGGCTCTGCACTGAGCATGGAGCCTGCTTGAGAGTGTCTCTGTCTCTCTGTCTCTCTCTCTCTCTCCCTCTGCCCCTCTTCACAGCTCTCAAGCTCATTCTCTCTAAAAATGAAAAAAAAATTTTTTTCAATATTATGGGTTGAATTGTGTCCCCCCCCTCACCCAAAAAAAGGTATGTTGAAGTCCTAACCACCAGTACCTCAGAATGTGACCTTCTTTGGAAAGAGGATCTTTACAGATGTAATTAGTTAAGATGAGGTCATACCGGAGAGGGTGGGCTCCCAATTCAGTATGACTGGTATCCTTATACAATGGCCATGTGAAGACATAAACACACAAGAAGTATGTCATGTGACAACAAAGGCAGACACTGGGGTTATGGAGCTATAAGCTAAAGAATGCCAAAGACTACCAGCAAACTGCCAGAATCTAGGAAGTAATGAAGGATTCTTTACAGGTTTCAGAGAGAGCATCTGCAGACACCTTAATTTTGGACTTTTAGCTTCTGCAAGATAAATTTGTTGTTTTAAGCCACCTAGTTCATAGCATTCTGTTATGTCAGCCTTAGGAAACTAACTTGCCATATAATGGAATATTATTCAGCCCTAAGAAGGACTTAAGTAGTGATACATGCAGGGACAAACCTTGAAAACATGGTGCTAAGTGAAGGAACCCAGACACACAAGAATACATATTACAGGATTCCATTCATACGAAATTACCAGAATCAGTAAATCTATAGACAGAGAGTATATTAGTGGTTGTCTAATACTGGGAAGAAGAGGGTGGGGGGATGAGAAAGGAGTGGAGAGAAAGTGGTACGTGACTGCTAATGGATACAGGGTTTCTTTTTAGGGTGATGAAAATGTTTTAAAATTAATTATAGTGATGGCTGTATAACTTTGTGAATATACTAAAACCTACCAAGTTGTACATTTTCAATGGGTGAATTACATGGTATGTGAATTATATCTCAATAAAGCATATCTCTTTATATCTCTTTCTTCTTTTGAAGAAAAGAACTAACAGATTGATACGACAGAAAGTTAGGAAAGGGTGGGGATACCTGAAATAGAGCATTATAAAGGGTTGTTGCAAAAAGTAACATGTGACATTTGAGCTACAACTTGAAGGATGAGGACAGCTGGGAGAAGAGCATTCCAGATAGAAGGAATGGTGCAAATGTCCAAAGGTGGAAATGAGCCCAGGATATTTGAGGAGCAAGTGAGGTAGACAGTAGCATGGGATGAAGTTGTTTGAGAGACAGGGGCTAGACAGTATGCTGATTCTATAAAAATTACAGATCATCAAGATAACTACAATAAAACGGCAGGCAACTTTATTTCATCTCCAGCTCTCAATATGCACCTTTAAGCCCCAACAGGCTTATATCGTAATAGTTATTTCATAAACATCTGTAACCATAACAATTACTCTTATATATGTCCATTCTCAAAGTTACCTGAAACTCTTGGGTTTGGGCCTGACTAGCATTAGCAACAGAAATCTCAGAGAGTCAAAATCAATCCAAATCAATCCCTAGGCCAAGAGTTTCAGGTCCTGCAGGCATAAAAATCACAGTCAAAACCAGATTCTAGATCTGTCCAACAGCAGCCCACATAAAGCCAAACCGACCCATTCTATATATCAGGAATTTTCTAAGACTCATGGAATATTCCCTAACTCAAAGAAAGCTTCTATGACTCAAAGAATGGGGGAAAAAATCAGACCATCTTTAGGAATAAACTGAACTAAATGGGCATTTAATTCAATATACGTTCTCTCAGCCTGTTCACCAATTCCTCCCCTTGGGACAGAGACAACATTTTTAAGTTAAGAAATTTTTAAGTTAATTCAAAACCTTGCCTTTTCCCTTTTGGCCTCAAGTTGGACTACAAGTTTCAGCAAGCAAAGGAGATACAGCAAAATTCAAGGACAATGCCCTGTGCCATCCTGAACACTCCCTTTTTACTTTCACTTAAATAGCTCTCCCCAGGCTTATATTGTTACACAGCCTGTATCAAACACCTGTTGACCTCATTGTGAAAGTACTTCAGTAACAGCCAGATGTGGGCCTAAGGAACAGGTGTGAAAATGTAACAAAGATATAACAGGCATATAAATTTGAGACATAAACAGAATTGGCTAGCCCATTTAATAAATTTGAAATGACAAAGTGATGTTCATCAGAAGCCAAGACTACAAATAAATCCAGTAAATGTATCACCACACATTTGTATATAAGTAGGTAAGTCCACCTATCTCCTAAATCATAGGCAAAATTAGTAAAAAGTATAAAAAATAGTTCTCTTTCCCATTTTCCAGGGGAAGAAAAAATTACCTCAAGGCTAACTGTAAAGCTAAAAACAAAGCAAAACAGGGGCACCTGGGTGGCTCAGTCGGCTAGGCGGGTTAGGCATCTGACTTCGGCTCAGGTCATGATCTCATGGTTCATGAGTTTGAGCTTCGTGTCAGGCTCTGTGCTGACAGCTGAGTCTGGAGCCTGCTTTGGGTTCTGTGTCTCCCTCTCTCTCTGCCCCTCCCCCGCTCATGCTCACTTGTGCAAGTGCTCACTCTCTCTCTCATAAATAAACATTAAAAAAAAATTTTTAGGGGCGCCTGGGTGGCTCAGTCGGTTAAGCATCCGACTTCAGCTCAGGTCACGATCTCGCGGTCCGTGAGTTCGAGCCCCCCGTCGGGCTCTGGGCTGATGGCTCAGAGCCTGGAGCCTGCTTCAATATAAACATTAAAAAAAAAATTTTTTTTTAATTTTTTAAATAAAAGTGAAGCAAAACAAACAAAACAAAAAATTCCAAAGTGAATAAAATTAGTAAATTGGACTTACTGTTTAGCCTGGTTAACATGAACTCCTAGTGTATAGCTCAGCCATTTGTATGTCACCTACAAGAAGAAAATTTTTTTTAACATTTTATTAGATAACTCCAGAGTGCAGGTCAGTCCCAAGGGTTCCTAGAGATTCCTACTCTGATGATAATGCCTTATAAATTACAGTAGCTGCCACCCTAGTTTTGGCAAGAACGATCCATCTGGGCAGGTAGGACTGAGATATTTATCTTACAAATATTAAAAAATTTGTTTCACAGGCTAATTAATGCAAGAGTCTAAAAAGAAGGGCTGAATATACAAAGAAAAAGCTCTCATTTTCCTTACATTCTGTTTTACTAGTGCCCTTTATTCACATTCCATCCTTTTGTGTGGCCGCCACTGATAAATATCTAAAACTCATCCAGGAGCTAGATTACTTTGAAGTGTATACCATAAACTTCTAAGGAAAGTTGCAGCCATACAAACGTTAACAGGCACAGATGGTGTAGGGGTCAGGAATGAAAAAAGTGGATGAATACTGTATCTGGGGTTAGACTGGAAACTACAGGCATTAAGCTTTGTTTTTCCTTCCACCCTTCCTTGAACTTCCCGTCATTTGTCACTTCCTTGTATGCTCCTCACCTCTCAAAGTCTTCAATTCTAAATGCTGAGTTTCCAATAATTAAGACATAGACGAAAGCAATAGCAAAAGAGACAGACGTAGGTTGGAAAACTGCCTATCCCTTACTAACTACCAAGAAGTTATTTGGCTCGTCTGCTTCAACTTCCTTTTTTGAGGGTTACTTCCACCGCCCTTTGGGTGGGTCCTGTAAAGATCAAATGCAGTCATGTATATCCCAAGCTCACAGCACTCAATTATCACGGTTTGCAAAGTCCATTCACATTCATCAGCTCACTTGATCTTTTACTCAAACCCTATGAAGTATTAATACTAAATTTCCTAGAGGAGGAAATCGACTGTTGAAAGGCTAAACAATTCGTCACCTAACCCAATTAAGGCACAATTTCCTCAACAGTAAACTTGGGACTTTAAACGCCAGCCACCTTATCAGACAGGTGAAGAAACGCCTTACAATTATTATCTACCAGTGCCCCTCCCTCCGCGCCTGTCCTCTAAGCCCCGGCTCCTAGCAAAGTCCCCAGCACGCCCACCCAAGGGACGCGGACTTGCGCGCGGCAGAGAAAGTCCCCCGCGAGTCCTCGCTCGCCCAGGGGCACGAGGCGTGGGGACTTGTCTCCCCTCCGCCAGTCCCCACCAGGCCACGCGCAGAGGGGTCAAGGCCCCCCGCAACCCTGGCCTGGCCCAAGACTCAATCGCTGCCCACATTCCCCAGTCCTAGCTCCTCACGATCTTGTTCTGGTCCGTGACGAACTCGTCTATATTTTCCAGATAAAGCTGGTCCGCCATGGTGCTGCGGCGCTGAGCCCCGCCGCCACAACCGCAGCTCCCGCCGGCGGGAAACGTCTTTCCACCCTCCCAGGTCCCGGGTCGTTTCCCACAGCAACGAATCCGACGCGCTACGGCGGCCGCCCGAGGGTCAAACTAGTCTCCGAGACGGCGCAGGCTCAAGTAGGCGGAGCTAGTAAGTTGGAGCAGGCGGAAGTGTAGAGCTAAGAGCGTGCGCGTGAGGTGTCAGGGCTGTTCTTGGAGCTGTGGTTTCAAATCTCCCATCTGCAGTTTAATGACTAACCCAGGGCAAAATACCTCACCTCTGGGAATCACAGCCTTTCCACTTTGTAAATTGATAAAATAATCCTTGCCTTTTCATACCTTTACTCAACAGATACTTATCAAGTACCTATTCCAGGCACTTCTTAGGCACTGAGGACACAGGAGTGAATGATAAAGACAGAAATAAACCAGTAATTTTAGTAGAATGATGCCAGCTGGGATAAAGTACTGCTGATTATAATCCCTCAAAATTGAGAAATTAGAGATAGTTTTCAAGAAGGGATGGGAAGAGAAATGTTTCAGAAAGAGGCAGGAACATTTGCTGGGAAGAAAAAAAGAGTTTGTTGCAGCTGGAATGTTGGGAGAAGAGGGCAATGAGGAGAGATGAGACTTGGGAAAAGGCCAATCATGCTGCACGTACAAGGCTATGTGAAGGGGCACATGAACTTGATTCTCAGGAAAAGGTTTCAGGTCGGGAGATTTCAACTAAAATTTCTCCTTACATCAGCTAAAGAATCCTTAATAACTGACTTCCACATAAGCCAGTGTAGTTCAAGAGGGCAGCATGGTGGAAAATGGAGCAAGCTCTAGAGTTAGACCCTGGATTTGAATCCTGGTGTTGATAATTGTCGTGTGACCCTAAGTAAGTTATTTAACCACTGCAAGCCTTTTACCCCATCTATAATATAGAAATAATAATAGCATCCCCTTCAAAGTTTTGTTGCAACAAGTACTGATTCAAGACATAGCAACAGCCTACTAAGGGCCAGGCACTGTTCTGGGTGCTGGGGTCAGCAATACACAGAGCCTGTTCACATGTAGCTTACATTCTCATAAAGATATGTGAGGGATGGCAAGGGCTTAAAATAGGATAGTGGGAAATTGAAAGAACTGAATGACTTGGGTTTTCTTTTTAGAGTCAGCAAAACCTGCTGATGAGTAGATGAATAGAGTGTGGGAAAGGTGGGAATGAAGGAAAGTACCTAGATTTGGAATCTAAATATTTAGGTAAATGGTGATGCCTTTGACTACTGGCTGTGGGAGACTGAGAGAAAGGGCAGATGAGAATATCAAAGAATATCAAAGAATTCTATTTAGTCACAGTTGTAAACGAGAATATATATATACATATATATGTATGTATATATACATATATGTGTATATATATATATATATATATATATATATATATATATATATATATATCCCTCACACCATACCTACACACAATAAAATCAATGAACAGTGGATTACATTACTATACACAATGAACAGTGGATTACATTACTATATACTTATATACTATGCCTGGTGTATAGTAATGAGAGTGAGATTTCACTTAATCCCCATAGCAACCCTGCAAATGAATTGTGTCTGTCCATATTTTATAGATTAGATTGCTGAGGTTTAAGAGAGGAGAGATGAATTTTCCAGGTCACAGTGTTGAGTAGTAGTACTAGGTTTGGAATTCAAGCTTCTTGTCATTGTTTCACAGGGATGGGAAGTAAGATGATTGACCAGAGTCTTGCCACTACCCCCACATCTAAGGGACCAGATGATAATATACCTGAAACAACATGGCCCTAGATATGTCAATGTTAAAAGGGTTGTGTGACTTTTAAAAGCCAGATTAGTAGTTAGCCTTGGGAGGCCTACCCAGTTTGAACATTCCTACCTCAGGGGTGAGGGACTGAATGGAATGCATGCGGGCTTTGGGGAAAAATTTTTTTTTTCTTTAAAGCAAGCAAACAAAATCCTGGGCTTGAATCCCAGCTTAACCACTTCCTAGCTGTGTGGACTTAGGCAAATCAACTTAACTTCTCTAGCCCTCAGTTTCCTGATCTTTAAAAGAAGGAGCAATAAACTGGTGTACTAATAAAATGTATAACAACCAAACTTAAAAAGCCCTGATTTGGGGCTCCTGGGTGACTCTGTCAGTTAAGCATGCAACTCTTAATTTCAGCTCAAGTCATGATTTCATGGTGGTGAGATTGAACTGTCCGTTGGGCTCTGTGCTGGGCATGCAACCTGCCTGAGATTCTCTCTCTCCTTCTGCCCCTCTCCCACTTGTGTGCACACATGCAGCCCCTCTCTCTCTCTCTCTCTCTCTCTCTCTCTCTCAAAAATAAATAAATAGCCCTGAGTTGAAAACTTATGTGGTGTGAATACTCCCATCATGGCAGATTTCTAGCTAGTGATATTGATGTCACTGAATGCAAAGTACGTGGAGACACACAAGATCATGAGATCACACCATTATTTCCTCAATACACATAGAATAAACAAATAACCTCAAGAGCATATATGGCAGTAAGGTAATTAGGAAGTGATGATATTCGAATATATATTGTCTTTGTTTTTACTATTATTTATTTAGTTGTAAATTTATATAATTTAATTTTTAGTAATGGCTCTTGTGAAAAGATAAAAAAAGGAAACTTAGTTTAGAATGGAGTTGGGAGGCCAGCAGGGGGAGCTCTCAAGCCCTACCACTCCTTGTCAATTGCAGACCCAACTGGGCAGGTTCTGTGCCTGGCGCGTTTAGCAATGTAAAATTAACTCATCTTCTTATTCTAGGCATCTGTAACATTCTCCCTATTTGAAATGTAACAGGCAAACCTCCAAAAAGGAAAAGTACCACCATTTCTACCTTAAATGCTGCTTCTTAAAAAAAAAAAAAAAATTCAGTCCCTGTTCCTTATAGATGAAGCTTAATAAAAACGTCAAAAACAATAGCAGTTCTCCAGGAATCTGAACAACCAATCAACCAAAGTATTTCTAAACAAATGAGGCCAGACAAAACTTGGGGATGGCAGTGTCAGCTGATACCAGAAGTGGGAGCCATAGGATCAAGACTCTTCAGCCTTCATGTTTCAAAAGAGGTTGGTATTAGAAACAGAAGACTAATCCTTCTTTTTCCTCCTTTTCATCCCAGAAATGATTAACATCAGAGAGGCTAATGATTGTGACGAGGCATGGGATGGTGAATCTAGACTGGACTCAATCAATATTGGGAAGAGAATAAGGAGTGGTCAACCTATATGCAGGCAGGACCCCAGACTCAGAGTAGGGGAGGGACACCAGGCCTCTGACCAGGAAACAGGGCCTGTGGGAGCAGCTCAGGAGTCCCACCAGAGAACTGGGCTACAGGGCTCCTGAAGATTTCTGGGAGATAGCATTCCAGGCAGAAGAACAGGTCAGAACCAAGGAATACAAGATTAAGAGCTATAATTTAGGGGCCACATAACTGTCCAAGGGTTGTTCCAGATCCCAGGGACCCAGAACTTATTAATACCATGCTATTAGCATTAGATCATTCATACATTCGTTCATCAAATATTACTCAAGGCCTCCTGTCTACCAGGCCCTGTGTGACTACTGGGAACAGAGCATGGTCTTCCTCTCCGAGAATTTAGTCTGTGGGGAGTAAATAGCAATACAATGTGGGGAAAGCACAGGGTGCCATGGGAACCTGGCAGAGGCAACTAACCCCGCCTGGAGCTCAGAAGAAATGTGGAGAAAACTGGATTTAGGTATCCAGGACTAGATAGCATGTAATCCTTCCTTTCACTTTAGGTGAAATGTATAGGAAATCAGAGTGCTGTCACGGTTATTAACACATACAACAAGCCAATATAATAAAAGGTATTTTATGAGAACATGTGTACCTTGTGCAGGCTGTCTTGTGGAATGTACAGCTATCAAGGCCAGGGCACATCAACCTTCTTGACAGCTGGTGAGGCAGGAGCCCAGGGAAGGGTAAAATAACATGCTGTTCTAACACACCTTATCAGTTCTATAAAAATCAATGTAAAACCCCTCTGTGACCAAAACAAAGTGGGTGAGCCAAGAGGGCAATCAGACACTGGTTCCCCTGTTTTATACCCACTGCCACCCCACCATACCCCCAACCCAAACTTACACCTCAGCCTGTTTATTTCTCAACTCAATCACCAACAGTTTCACTTTGCTACCTTTGTTGCCTCAGTCACACAGAAAAAGAGCAGGAAGATCTCACCCCGGTCCCATCTTGCAATTACTTTGTATATTGTTTTCCTTTCTCAATCCCTTTGGGGGCTGGAAGGGTGCTTTGGAGGAGTGTGTGTCCCTATTTTGGCTGTTAGCATTTTTGTTGTAAGCATTTTAGCCACATAATTGGCCAAAAAGCAGTTTTTCCATAAAAGGTAAGATCACAAAAAAATAAAAGAGGGACACTCATTAAAAAGGACATACTGAAGAATGAATAACAAAATTAAAAAGACACTATGGCAAAATACAAAGTATTTGAATACATTCAAAATATATAGTATAGATTCATGGCAATACTGTGTAAATAACTGACTTTATTTTGTGGATTGTATCTGAGCATTTGTCTTCAAAATCTTTTGTTCATAATATTATATATATTTTTTTGCTTGTTGATTCATTTCTTCATTGGACATCAGACTTTTTTTGCTAAATTTTTTTCCTTCATTAATAGAGGTATCAGTTTCCAAATAGGAGGATGCATATTTGTAACTGAACTTTGTATTGCATTGTGACTGCCTTCTACACTGTTGTTTGTTCTTGGCATATGTCCATTGGTAGATGTTACAAAGTTCTAAGGGAAATGTGGGGTCAAAACTCTGTGCCACTGTATAGACCATTATGAGGGCTAAGACTCACATAATATAAAAATGGGAGTACTGTGTTAATGAAGAAATGAAACCAAACTCAACCAGTTGATGAAACCAACAAACTGTCAAACCAAACTACCAACCAGTTACTTTTCTCTTTTA